TATTCAAACACTGAAGTTCAGCTCTGATATATTAGAGAGAAAACAGTCAATAAATGTTTTCCGCACATTAACAGGCCCTAGATATAACGCATTTGAAAACCCCGCTTTCAAAAATGACAGATGTCGGTTCAAAATACATGGTACGAGATATGAGGTATTATGCATCTTGACATAATACGATTTTTTCATTTCTGGCCAGAAATACAACTTGGGAAGACCTTTCAAATGTTTCAAACAGATCTCACTACTTATATAGTACAGTTATGATGTTCAGGTGAAGTTAAGAAATGCTTTCAATGGCGTGAGTTGTACCCCACTATTTCCGACGCGCTTTCGAAGCACTGTGGCGTGTAGCCCTCATCTTCGAGGCCTAGCTTGTCATGTTGGGTAATTCAAGAAATTTCTAAGGAGTGTTTAAACAACTTCCTAATATTTATAAATGTAGTTTTGAATAAAAACACTGGCGTCGAGAGCAATAAAAAGTATTTTGGTACGTGGAAATGGGTTGAATATAATCTTATTATCCCTACCCTAAATATAAGCACTTTCGGTTCTGATATCCCGGCGGCTGCTTATCAGGGATGTATCACTACAGTTTGACGTCACAGAGAGACAGAAAATCACCTCGTACCAACGACAGGTCTGCCATCTGCATGCTCGTGGATCACGTTCAAACAACGATGAGTAAATTATTATCCAGTGACTCCATCAGTTATTTTTGCTAATTAGGCTGCATGTAAGACGCAGAGTTCGCAAACTCAAAGGAACTGTGTTGATTCGTCGAGATAGCGTCCATAGCGGTAGGGCTTACTTGCCGATGCTCAGTGACGAAAACTTTTAAATAAAAAAGAACAATTTGTACACGTTTTCCGACCAGGTGGTAGGACATTTACAAAAATTATAGCTGCGCAAAAAGCGAGACAAAAGAACGAAGTACACAGGATGATCGCAGTAAGTGAGTCAAAAAGTAGAAAGAAACAGACTTGACAAAAAAGCAGAGTACAAAACAGAAAGAATAACAGAGAGAGAAATAGAAATAATCAATGAAAGAAGAAAAAGAAAGAAGCAGAGTGAGAGAAAAAGAACGATTGTAAGGCTGAGGAGAGAAAGAAATATATAGAATGAAAGAAATAGAGACACATAGAAAGAGACAGACTAGAGCGAGTGAAAGAAAAAAAGACAAGAAAAGAAAGAAAGAAAAAGAAAAAAGAAAAAAAAGAAGGAAAGAAAGAAAGTGCCACCCAGCTTCTTCCTTCACGCTTCGCACCCCTAGTGCGAAGCCGCCATAAGGTTTTTTTGTTTCTTTGTTTTTTGTTTTGTTTTTGTTTTTGTTTTGATTTCAAGTCTCAGTTTACCACAAAATGTGTGGGATAGTACTTTTGACCCCCCTTTTTTGTCAGTGATGAACAAAGCACGTGGTTAACGCTTTCATGAAGCTGGCTAAACACAAAATATCTGTTTCATCTTGCACACCTCCGCTAATTCTACTGCTCACGCAAGAACTGCATTGTAAGTAAGGTAAGGGGGGACAGAAATTATACAACCGTTACATTCTACACTACAAGTGAATCATTTTTCATTCTGGCCCCGCCGCGGTGGTCTAGTGGCTAAGGTACTCGGCTGCTGACCCGCAGGTCGCGGGTTCAATTCCCGGCTGCGGCGGCTGCATTTCCGATGGAGGCGGAAATGTTGTAGGCCCGTGTGCTCAGATTTGGGCGCACGTTAAAGAACCCCAGGTGGTCGAAATTTCCGGAGCCCTCCACTACGGCGTCTCTCATAATCATGTAGTGGTTTTGGGACGTTAAACCCCACAAATCAATCAATCAATCATTTTTCATTCTGTTTATCGCATAACGAAAACTGACTCATACCGACCGCGGGCACTGGCCACACTTTCGATTATGTATTACAATGGAAGCACATTGCAACATTTAATGAAAAAAACACAAAAGAACAAAACTAGTGGCTACTGAAAAAAGAAACGGGTAAAACAATTGAAAAGCCGTAAGAGAAATATTCACAAAGCAAAAAAATAGGTATCCTCTCCCCCCGGTGGTTGGCAGCTGTGGCAGCGTAATGTTCCATCTGTTTAAATGAATGGGGGTAACGCGTTTATAATAGCTCCGAGGCTCATTCCAAACTGATCAGCTCCAAATGCCGAGAGGTTAGATGAGTAATCAGTTGCGAACCCAGCCTACAAGTTGGCGCCTCAATAACCATTCAGTACGAGGTTGGGCAAAATGGCCACATGACATAAATGTGATCTGTTGATTCTGGCTCACTGCAAGCCGAAGTTAATAATAAAGAACCAGATTTAGTGCGTTACGCACAAAACGTATTGACACACAAATTTCTTTCTTTTTTGCTTTTTGTATACTTTTTCTTTCTCTTTATCTCTTTATCACTTTTCTTCTATGCCAGTCTTTTCATTTCTTTCTTTTTCTGTCGTTTTTTCTCACTCTTGAGGTCTCGTCTTTTAATCTTTGTGTTCCTTATTTTCTTTTTCTTTTTGATTTGTCCCTATTCATTTCCTTTTCTCGCTTTTTTGCTCTGGTAGTATTTGTGCATTTTTGTCTTCTTTGGCCTCTAATATCAATGTGTCCTGCGGAATAATGCCACAGTATAAGTTATCGTCCGTGAATGCAAAAAATCACAGCATATCCACGGAGTGAATGATAATAAGTGGGGCGAAGCGTCTGTCAGCGCGTCCGTGCTTCCGTCCGTCTTTGTTCGTTCTTGCTTCCGTCTCTCCGCGCGACCATCCGTGCGTCCATCCATGCATCCGCCCGTCTGTCCGTGCGTCCATTCGTGAGTTCGTTCACCCATCTAAGTGCCTGTTCGTGCGTCCAACCGTCTGTACGTCCGCACGTCTATCTATCCGTCCGTCCGTCTGCGAGTCTGTCCATCCGTCCGTGCCTCCATCTAGTGAACACTAAGTACCGCCATCTCCCATCTCGCATCTTCTGTGGCACATACCCGCTCTAGAGCGGGTGTGTGCCACTGGTGGCTACGCACTACTACATACATACATACAAGGGATGGACAGACCCATGCCTTAAGGAGCTTCGGGTAAGATCCCTGTGCGGAGGCGGGAAGCCACGCCGTAATGCGGTGAGGTTGCGCCAGCTCCAAACCGAGACTGTGCTGACCCCATCGCTAGCGCGACACGTGTGCCCCGAACTCTACGTGAGTGAAATGTGCAGTGTGTGCGCGAGCGCGAGAGCCACCCTGGCTCACATACTCTGGGGATGTGACGCAGACAGCGCGGACGGTCCGGTGTTACCGCCGCAAGTAGAACAGCGTGTGGGGTCTACGGACCCAGAAGACCAGCGAAGGGCCGTCCGGCAGCTCGAGGTCGCACTGGCGCTGCAAAGGCGAAAGGGGGACACCCTCAGTAACCCGAGCGGCGACGGGGCACGAAGGCCTTGAGGTCTAGGCCCGCGTGACATTAGGACTTCTAGTGTAACGTGAGATAGGGTGAACCCCACGCCCTGCGCGGCCGGAGGGAATCCCGCATGCTGGAACCCAATAAAGTTTATTCTCTCTCTCTTAAGGAGCTTCGCCCCTAAAAAACAATGGCTTCTCGTTGTTGGCGTTTACTTTGGGCGCTCCCTTATAAGTCGCTTATCTTAGTAAATGTATGCGCGTACGTATATGTATATGCGTATAAACACAAGCAAACTATTAAAATTGAAGATGAAAACAGCTGGGATCTAAAAAGGGGTATATTTAAAAAACACTAATCATAAGTACTTTGTTTTTAGGCGTAGGTTACATTTAGGCTTAGGATACTTTAGTGCTTAGGTTGATCTCGAAAAGGGCGCTCGGGCCAACAGGCGAGCGCTACGCTCACGTGTTTCTAAGGTGTGCGTTCGTATATATTATTATCTCACCGTTTTTGTCTGGTGCATCTTTTTCTCTTGTAGCTAAAAAGCATCATTACCATCCCGTTAATGGTAACCATGCTTAGCAGAAAAAGTATCTACAAGACGTAGTCGGCAATCAATGAATAATACGTTGATCAGTCTGAACACTTCGTGGTTCATGTAATGCAGGTGATTATTACGATTGATCGAAATGAACCAAATAGTCGATTACATCACGGATACAACGCTTAAAAAGGCAGAGTGCATTCAACCACGAAAAAAGACCCAAACTATGTTTAACATTATTTACTTACTGAAAAAAGCTTGAATGGTAATGCGACAATACAAATAAACTACTGCCCTGCATAGTTACTGCTTCTATCATAATATGCTTATTATACGGCCGCTATAGAATGCCATATAGCGAAATTTCCTTAAAGGCAGAACAGTTTGTGAACTCGACAAATCAATATTCTAATGACATTCACCGCATTTTCATAACATCCTTAAAACACATTTTGTTATTTGAGCGAAGGAGTGAACTGGCTCCATTATATTCACTCAATTCTGTGTTGTCTATAAAACACACTCCTCAAGCCCTCCACAATTTCAAGAAAAGAGACAAAAAAACTACTAAAAACACTTCGAATTATTAGTCACTGTTGAACGTCATTATGCTTATTGACACTCATTACGTTATTTTTTACTGTTTTTGGCTATCGAATACACTTTAGCTCTCATCAATCAATGTTGAATTACTTGATAATTTCGTCCTTCGTTTCCCAATGTAGAAAAAGGTCCCAGGGCTATATTTCCTAATTTTTGACGCTTACTATGTTGTCGACAAATAGTATATATCGCTGTGACAAGTACGTCCCTGTGAACATTATATAAAGAAAAACTAAATGTGAAACCAAGCTAGAGGATTTCACTAGATTTGTGCAGAGGCAAATGACGATTCTCAAAATGTTGTGCTACTACGCAGAAATTTCGTCATTGCGTTATTTACACAAAGTGGACACCAACGCCGATGTCCGGAGTGAAAAATATATGTAAACCATAGATTATAAGAGTGCCTGCAGCCGAAATGGCTGAACAGATTCGTCACAAAATTTGTCAATGTGTGACGCGGCCTCAGGCGGAGGTCGCTATATTCATCGCCACGGCAGTGCATAGACTCGAAATTGCTGCTCGTGTCCAGTACGAGGTTTCGAGTGCTCGTGCTCCACTCTCGAAGGCGATTCGGCCATCCAGCATTGGCATGATTGGCGATCTCTTCTTTAGATACTGGCGCATTATCATGTCGTCACTGATATCTGCAAAGGCGAATAGAGTGGCATTAGAAAAAAAAACATCTTGAACGCTCACCAATGTACAGCTTTGAAATTAAACAACTAGGGGTGAGTAGACTACCTGAATGCAAAACCATCGTCTAAAGTACTCCTATAAGGCCCTGTGTAACGGTTTATATCGTTAAGCTGTGTTGAACAGGTTGCGGACACTAGACACTATAAATGCAAACGGTGCTTTTTTTTTAATTGGTTCGTTGCATTCTGCTTCCTCTTTCCTTATTAATGTGTGATAAAGCAACGTTGTAAAACCTCTCAAGACCATGTCATTGACATGGCTAGAATGTGGCAATACTTGACCTCTCCCACCAACCACTATATCTCGCTATATCGCAGAATGTGCCAAAATTCTGCAAGTGTGTCGCGAAATGCGCAAGACACGTGAAACATACGTCACTTTCTATAAATGCACTATTCGGGTTTACTGTGAGTTGAGATAAACAAAGTTCAGCTATAATCTATAATTATTGAGCATACATTTAACGGACAAGTACAAACACTCACGCAAGGTAATGCTGCTTTCTTGTCTTGCGGTTGGCTTGCCTTACCTTCCTGTACGTTTTTATAGATCTTTGTGCATTAGATTATGTTAGTGCCGCCCACCATTTGGCTGAAAGGCAATATTTTTTTCCCGCAACCTTAACGCAGTTATCAGAGTGCCAGTGCCAGAAAGCATCTTGCGTTAGTCTCGCGAAACCTCGCTAAAGTGAAACTATCGTCAAACATTATCGTTATGAAGCTTGATCTCGCAAGTACGCTCATGTGGACGGAAGCCTTTCTATCGTTCAGTCAGCTAAATAGTACTTCGAACACCGTAAAAATAAAGAAGCCGCATATAAATTTGTCGGCAATCTCACACTTCCTTAACCTGAACGTTAGCGTTTAGGCTACATTGTGAATGGAATGAATGAAAATACTGAAGTCTTATCTGCAGATTCTTCGTCTTTCATATGAGCTTGAGTTGAACTGTTCTTTAAAATTGCACTTAAAACTTGCAAAAGGCTACTATATAGGTTCGATATATTAATTTTATACTCAACTGCTTGCGACTTTGTAGCCCCGTGGGACACGCGAAAAGTCGTAGCCGTCGCCACCGCTTGCGAGGTACCTGACATGGCCAACGTGTACCACTGGATCCCAATAACGCGCTCGTACGTGGGCGTTCGGCATGATGTGCACAGGATCAGCAGGCTAGATACGACGCTCTCATTCACACCAGGATTAGACTTGTACTTGACACGTATCCCTGCACGTGCAAGAGAAAAATAGAAAATGTCGAAAGCTGATGTAGCTTGAAAAAAATCACATGTTTCGCACTCTTAATATATTTTTAATCAGCCTATCCAGCCAAGGCTGAATACCGACCTTGAATGTTTTAGGCTCACATATCCAGTAAAACTTCAGCTAACTTAAAGTAGGTACATTTCCTCAGTTTCTACAGCTATTGTGTCACATTGTCTTTCTATATGTCCGATGACATCATCCTAAAATGGTAGAGTACGTGGCATGGCAACGTCATCCTAAAGTGATACCTTTGTTCCATATGGCCCTATTTGAAAAAAAAATGCAGACTGTAGAGTACCGCTGTCCAAACGAATACGTAAGCCAAATGGTGCTCACATTTCTCATAAATGTAGCAGTGGCATGAGTTCCCATATAGTTGCAAATATATTATTCTCTCTACTGATAAGAACTGAGGATTTTAATACCAGAAACCGTTTTCGAAATCACTGCTGCATTATTATCATCATCATCATCATCATCATCATCATCATCATCATCATCATCATCAGCCCCTACTACGTCCATTGCAGGACAAAGGCCTCTCCCATGGTCCGCCAGTTAACCCGGTCCTGTGCTTGCTGCTGCCAAATTATACCGATAAACTTTTTAATCTCATCTGCCCACCTAACCTTCTGTCTCCCCCTAACCCGCTTGCCTTATCTGGGAATCCAGTTAGTTACCATTAATGACCAACGGTTATCCTGTCTACGCGCTACATGCCGTGTCCATGTTCATTTCCTCTTCTTGTTTTCAACTATGATATCTTGAAGCCCCATTTGTTTCCTAATCCACTCTGTTTTCTTCTTGTCTCTTAAGGTTACACCTACCATTTTTCTTTCCATTGCTCGCTGCGTCGTCCTCAATTTAAGCTCAACCCTCTTTGTAAGTTCCCTGGTTTCTGCTCCGTAGCTAAGTACGGCAAGATACAGCTGTTATATACTTTCTTCTTGAGGGATAATGGTAATCTACCTGTCATAATTTGAGAGTGCTTGCCAAATGTGCTCCACCCCATTCTTATTCTTCTAGTTACTTCAATCTCCTGGTTCGGCTCCGCGGTTACTACGTGTCCTAAGTAGACATAGTCTTTTACAACTTGAAGTGCACTATTACCTATCTCGAAGCGCTGCTCTATTCCGAGGTTGTTGTACATTACTTTCGTTTTCTGCAGATTAATTTTAAGACCCACCTTTCTGCTCTCCTTGTCTAACTCCGTAATCATGAGTTGTAATTCGTCCCCTGAGTTACTCAGCAATGCAATATCTTCGGCGAAGCACAGGTTACTAAGGTACTCTCCATTAACTGTTATCCCTAACTGTTCCCATTCCAGGCTTCTGAAAACCTCCTGTAAGCACGCGGGAAACAGCATTTGGGAGATTGTGTCCCACTGCCTTACACCCTTCTTGCTTAATATGCTGTTGATTTCTTTATGAAGCACTATGGTAGCTGACGATCCGCTGTAGATTTCTTGCAGGATGTTTATATATACTTCATCTACGCCCTGATTCCGCAGTGTCTGCGTGACGGCTGATATTTCTACTGAATAAAACGCCTTCTCGTAATCTATGAAGGCTATGTATAGTGGTTGGATATGTCTAAGCATTTGTTTATTACCTGATTGACAGTATGAATGAGGTCGAATGTGGAGTAGCCTGTTCGAAATCTTGCTTGTTGCTTTGGTTGATTGAATTCTAACGTTCTCTTTACTACGTAGTGAGGGAAGTCTAGCCTTACTATTCGAGGAGCTAGAGGGTGTTAGATGGGATATAATAGGGCTCGCTGATGTTCGGAGGACAGATGAGGCCTATAGGTGCTACAGAATGGGCACGTTCTTTGCTCTCGGGGCTTGGCTGACAGAAAAGAGCTGGTAGTGGGGTTCCTAATTCACAGAAACATAGCTGGCAACATAGAGGAATACTATAGCATTAATTAAAAGGTAGTAGGTATTGTAAATAAACTGAATAAAATATCCAAGATTAAGATGGTACAGGCTTACGCGCCTACATACAGCGATAATGACTCTTGACTTGAAAGCTTCTATGAAGACGTGGACTCGGCAATGAGTAAGGTAATAACACAGTATACTATACTGATGGGGGACTTTAATTCAAAGGTAGGGAAGAAGCAGGCTGGATACCAGGCAGTAGCAGATTATGACATCGGTACTGGAAACGCCAGAGGAGAGCTACTAGTAGAATTCGCAGAACGCAATAATTTATAGATTTGGATACCTTCTACCGAAAACGAGGAAACCACAAGTGGACATGGAGGAGCCCTAATGGAGAAAATGAGAACGAAATAGACTTTATAATGAGTGCACACCCAGGCATCATTGGATGTGGAAGTGGTTGGCAAGGTACGATGCAGTGACCATAGAATGGTACGGTCTCAAATTCACCTTGACTTGAAGAAGAGACGACAGAAACAAATATGCAAGAAGCCAATCATTGAGCTAGCACTGAGGGGGAAAGTACAGGAATTCAGAGTCTCGCTTCAAAACAGGTACTTGGCTTTTAGTGAGGAAACCAACCTCAGCGTAGATACAATGAATGATAATCTGATGAGTATCAATACGGAGTGTGGAGTGGAAGTTGGAGGCAGGGTAGTTAGACAGGACACTGGCAAGCTTTCCCAGGAAATGAAAAATCTTATTAGGAAGCGTCAACTCATGAAAGTCTCAAGTGCAACAGAAAAAATAGTACAGGCAGAGCTTTCGTAGTTGATTAATAGGCGTAAGGTATGCGATGTAAGAAGGTATAACATGGAGAGAATTCAACACGCTCTGAAAAACGAAGGAAGCGTCAAAGCAGTGAAGAGAAAACTTAAGATAGTTAAAAATCAGATGTATGAGCTAAGGGACAAAGAAGGCAAAATAACTATCGATATGAATAGGATTGTTACAATAGCGGAGGAGTTTTACAGAGGTCTGTAGAGTAGCCGGGACAACCACGACCTCAATACTATAAGAACTAGCAGTAATCCAGATGACACGCCACCAGTAATGATAGAGGAAGTCAGAAAAGCTTTGGAGAGCATGCAAAGAGGCAAAGCTGCTGGCGAGGATTAGGTCCACGAGTGTTGAAGATTGGGCGAGTTGGTTCGTCGTACTTGAACTGGTATAGCGCATTACGGGGAAGAAGAAACGGCCGAGCAGACCGACACAAGAGGACAGAGCGCTAGCTTCCAACTGAGCTTTATTGTCAAATTGCATCAAATAAGTAGACCGGCGCAAGCATACAAAACCACCCTAAAGCAACGACAAGATAACACACAACATCACACCGTCACATATCACACATTCATAGGCGGTTACCCTGATTAAGGAAGGCCATTTCATGTTCAGATAAGCCCAAAGAAGGGGCGGTAATACACGTGCTGCCAGCTCTTGCTATACAATGCGCTTCTATAATTTCTCGAGTTAATTGTGACGGGTGCTTTTTTATCACTTCACACTGGTCAAACATGGGGGTACATCCGCTTTTATTGACTCATGAGTTGCCAGTTGACAATAGTTTACGCTTTTTAGATTTGAATTTAATTCTTTCACCTGACCATGTGTGCTGGCTATTTCAACCTAGAAATGGAAAACCCCTTTTACCCTATGACTCTTCCCATTCCAAGTTAGTTAAGCGCAGCATCACAAATCTTTCTCTCATCAATCCTCTTAGGAAATCGTGTCATCATGTCATGCATCGCAGCTTTGCTGCTCAAGCTGAAAGGCTTTTGAGTGCTGGGTACCCAGCTATCCTACTGGCATCTATAGCTGAAAAGCTATTACAACAGACAAAGAAAGGATGCAACTCCGAGGCCCAGCCGGAATCTAACGACCGAAAAAGACCCGTAGTTTTACCCTACGTGCATGACATTTCCCATCGGCTAAAAAAGATAGGGGAGAAATGCAGCGTCAAAGTGGTGTTTTCAGCGCCGGATAAGTTACAGCGGCTTTGCAAAGCTGTCAACCCTCTCAAATCACACACCACTGGTTACGCAACTAAGCACAAAACTCGGTTTGTGCCGTGTGTAGTGGGGGTTGTTTACGCAATTCCATTCTCATGTGGTATGTGGTATTTCGGCCAAACGGGGCGATGCCTCAATGAAAGGCTAAAAGAGCACCATTATAATGCTCACAAAGCAATCCAGGGCCACATTGGAATTCACTGCCGCGATTGTGGATGTACCCCCATGTTTGACCAGTGTGAAGTGATGAAAAAGCTCCCGTCACAATTAACTCGAGAAATTATAGAAGCGCATTGTATAGCAAGAGCTGGCAGCACGTGTATTAGCGCCCCTTCTTTGGGTTTATCTGAACATGAAATGGCCTTCCTTAATCAGGGTAACCGCCTATGAATGTGTGATATGTGACGGTGTGATGTTGTGTGTTATCTTGTCGTTGCGTTAGGGTGGTTTTGTATGCTTGCGCCGGTCTACTTATTTGATGCAATTCGACAATAAAGCTCAGTTGGAAGTTAGCGCTCTGTCCTCTTGTGTCGGTCTGCTCGGCCGTTTCTTCTTCCCCGTAATGCGCTATACCAGTTCAAAGAGGATTAGGTAACATCACATCTGCTGACAGATGGAGGAGAGATTGTGTTAGAAAAACTAGCCACCCTGTGTACGAGGTGTCTCCTGACGGGAAGAGTACCAGAGTCTTGGAAGAATGCTAACACCATCTTAATACATAAGAAAGGAGATGACAAGGACTTGAAGAATTACAGGCCGATCAGCTTGCTCTGTCTAGTATACAGGCTGTTTACAAAGGTAATTACTGCTTATTAGAAGTTCATATGCTTCGGTTATCATTGAAGTAAAACGATAGCATTTTTATTTTCAAAACTTCAAGAGAATAGTTGCTTTAAAATGGAGAACACGCTGTTTAAATTCATTCGCATACATCCACACGCACATACATACGTGCACGCATGCTGATAACTTTGTGGAATGGGGATGTGGGTAGCACTTTTAATACTATTCAGGAAACACCTCACGTGAGCAGAGGCTTACCAGAGAGTTGGAGGAACTTTGTGGACGGTGAACCTTTCTTCCCGGAGTACTCCATCATATTTTGAAGCGTGGTCCCACGCATTGTGACGAACATGTATTCGTCGTTAAATGGATACATTTGGAACACATCTTCAAGTCGCAGCTCCCCTGTGCGAGAAAAAAAAGCAAAAGATCGAAACTGGGATCTAACCCGATCGGTATACTACAAAGTCGGCATTTTTAGCGCAGTTCATTAGTTGAGGTAAACCATGTATGAAATTTGAAATGTGTGAGTGAGCGTCATGTTATGTTAGAGCGTATCGTTATACCATGCATTAGATCACCTTTTTCAGCAATGGCAAAGTTGTCTATAACTTACTAAGCGGAACCATATCCCAGGCATATTGCACAAACATAAATACTGTGGGAGTGTATATATTTGGGAATACACACTAAGTTTGTTTTAAGTACCTGCAGACACATTACATGCGACGAGGACTCCGACGCCGATTCTATCATTTGGGGAAATAACAAGAAACAGAACCCTGTGTGCTCCATTTAGGAACCCTTGTAACAACCACGTATCTCATTGTTAAAAATATCTCACTTAAAATTTACTCCGTATTTCTTCTATCTATCTATCTATCTATCTATCTATCTATCTATCTATCTATCTATCTATCTATCTATCTATCTATCTATCTATCAATCTATCTATCTATCTATCTATCTATGATCGCAAGAATGCTTCGCTTTAAAAGCCGTTCTTGATAGACTTCTAGGCTGTGATACCTATGAGGCAGGGTGAAGCTCATTTCTACGCACCACTTTTGGTTTTCTCGTCAAAGCTGGTGATCATGGAGCCAGAGTTTATAACAACGGCATTTATTTGGCTCCATGCGCCGGCAACGGTCACCTCGGAGAAGTAGTCAAATGCCGCGTCGGCGAGAAGGTTTCCACCGTTGCACTCCCGTACCGCGCACACGGCCCTGCTGTTTTCAATATAAACCTGCGCACATATGATAAGGATATACACTCCCGTTTCGTGAACGCCAAAAAAGCCATAGAGGCATCAGATAAGCGACAAACAAGATATGCGTCTTGCAACAGATGTGTATGCCCCGCCGTGGTGTTCTAGTGGCTATGGTACTCGGCTGCTGACCCGCAGGTCGCGGGATCGCATCCCGGCTGCGGCGGCTGCAGTTCCGATGGAGGCGGAAATGTTGTAGGCCTGTGTGCTCAGATTTGGGCGCACGTTAAAGAACTTAAGGTGGTGGCAATTTCTGGAGCCCTCTGCTACCGCGTCTCTCATAATCATATGGTGGTTTCGGGACGTTAAACCCCCACATATCAATCAATCAATCAATCAATCAACAGATGTTTACGCCCAAAGAAATGGTATGGTGTGCTTAAGGCGTCAGGACGTGCGTTTTTATAATGAAAAAATTTGCTGAATCTCAGTAAGTGTTGCTGTCACTGTCATGTTCCGTATATATATATATATATATATATATATATATATATATATATATATATATATATATATATATATGAATTGCCATGGCTTTTGAAACAATTTTTTAGGATTATGTATGAAATACTTGAATTGACATTTTTAACAGGCAGATTGTATTGTAGTGGCACCTGGCGGAGCAGATGTCATTCCCGCGCTTCCATGTGTATGGCCTCTGAGATCCGCTTCGATGAAACACGATGTTAACCAGAGGAATACATAAGGGCACATGAACACCAAGGAAGAATGATCACTCCAGAAGTAAAACTTACGAGTTAGGGTCCCTTTCGTTAGGGTCTCTCATTCTTTAGGACCAAGGGACAAATGAGACTGCGTTGCACTTTAATGAAACCAAGCAGTTACATAGCTGATACTACGTTGTCATAGATCACTGGTCTACTCCCTGAGGCCGGCATGGGTATCATGCGGCCTCTGTACGTCGTATAAACGTCACATACCTCTTGTCCTCAAAAGGAATGTGGCAGTTTAGACATAGGGTTACATAAGACCAAGGAAAGATCACTTCCAGTTGGCGTTACCACCTATGCTTGTGAATTGCGACCCTCTCAAGTACGTGCTGAAAATATGCCCCATGTCCATTTTGATTTCGTATATTATTGCCATATGCAGTATAATGGACACACTCATCTGATTTGGTGATCACCGTCATTTCACGAATATATATATATATATATATATATATATATATATATATATATATATATATATATACATATTGTCATGGCTATGAAAGACGCTGGGGCTGGGGTGCATGGGAAGCTTGGAGAAGGTAAATGAAGACGAGGTAGAGAACGGAACAGCTTGCCCGACGAACGGGTGTTGTGCCTTTCTCGCTCACGACAGTGGCGCAGTTCGACAACTGAACCTTGCGGCTGAAGCCACCTGTACTTCGCAGGTCGTCTGCAGTGCATGTCTCTGAATCCAGGAACGCCGTCCACGCTTCCTGAGTAATGGTGTTCACGACCCGACCGCTGCTGAAGCTACCCAACGATTCATCGACGGATGGCGTCAATGCCTCCTCGATTGTTCCACGGTACGACTTGACAGACGGCAGGCTACCACTTTTATCTCAGTATGCCCATAGACTGCTATCATCTGAATATGTCGCGAACGCTTTCCGTGGCCTGTATCTCAGGCCCAGTCCTCCTACAACGGGTGACCAACCAAGGTACGCTGTTCAAGCTACTTTGGGCATGCTTGTCGCCCCCGTGAATATTGCTAGCACCACATATTCAGCGGACGTGAACAATAGTGGTTCCGAGGTCTCATGCGAGAGTGCCGTGGAGCTGCGGCGTGTCATCGCGCAACTACTACGCGTCATGGTCAACGCTGTCACAGCAACGAGCTCCATGCTGTTCCTTGCCATCTTGCTGGTCCTGAGTGCAAGCGACGGCATGTTACATGCAGTCGCTTCACAAGACCTTGAAGCCTTCTCACCTGAGCAACGCGGAGATCTGAGGTGCGCCCTCCTTCAGCTCTCAAGCCTGATCGACTGCTTCGACTCAGTAATCTCTGCACTCTCACGTGCTGACCCACGAATATCGGCCGTCAGCGAACCACCAGAGTTTGATGGGTTCCAGAACGACGCCGACCACTGGGTGTCAACCGTCCACGCGCACGCAGCGCGTGTGTCCAGGACAGAGCCTCAGAAATGGTGCGTAGCAGTGGACCGGCTTCGGGCAGATGCAGTGGCGTGGCACCGGTATGAAGGCGTGAAGCAGCGCACCTGGGTGGAGTGTAGCTCCAAGCTCATAGCTGCCTTCGGCCGGATTTCTGATGCCTTGACCAAGCCCCAGACTGACCGAGCCCCAGGATGGAGCTCACCATTCGCACCACCTCGAAGCTTTAACGGCTCGTTGCAGCTCGTCGATGGAATGCAACGGAGATTTTCCTGCTGCTGACTCTGATTGGAGTTCCTGCAGTCCTACTCTGCAGATTCGGTCTCTGCATCGATATTCGACTTGAAAATACCCATGCCAGACCTTCATCCGGAGATACTGCCCTCGCGCTCATCGTTGTTAGAGGACACGGAGGCGCTCACCCCTATCGTACCAGACACAACTGACCCCTACCGGACCAAGATTGTCAGTAAACAATGCACTCCTTACCATTCACAGAGCAGGCCTTTCTGAGGATCCGAACAAGATCAGCGTAACCTGATACAGCCACGTTTGCAGACGACTCATACATTCACTTCAGAAGACGTACAGACGCTCAACCGCGCAGACCCTTGGCTCCCAAGCGATGTTTCCTTTGAGAAAATCAAGACACCTAGCCAGGCTGAGGCCACTGCCATTGAGAACTTGTCGAGGACCAGCCCTCCTGCTCTTCCCTCCAAGGACACCATATCAGCACGTGACAGTTCACCCGAAGCCACCGGCTGGACAACTTCAAAGAGTCTGCTGTGGTATTGATGAGCAACGTTGAGCTGCGTCGCATCTCATTTCGAGAAATGGCATATACGTCCACAAGGCTGCCTCACAGAGCGTCCCGCTGCAGTTCGGTCCACCAATGGTGGTGGGACAAACACTAGCGCTTCCAGGTTACTCTGCGACCATGCCGGAACAGTCAGAGCCGTCCGCCTGAACTGTATTCTATGAGTTGTCAGGAAACGTTGCACAATGGACGAGTTCGATCGCAGCGACAAAGCCAATTCCGTCCACCAGAATGCACACTGACAGATCTTCAAGCAGAGGCGCACCGTGGCGCAGACCAACCGGCTCAAGGCAGCGAGTGTCATCCACCAGATACGCTTCCCCCAGACCATCACTTCATGTTGCATTGTGGTGCGGCCCGACCACCACGATGCAGTCAAGCCCACCCAGCAGAAACTTTGCCGCCAACTCTGCACGCGCGCCGTCATGGCTGAGAGTCTTGACTAAGAAAGACACTGGGGCTCGGGTACGTGGGCAGCTAAAAGAAGGTGAAAGAAGACGAGGTAGAGAATAGAACAGCTTGCCCGACGAACGGGTTGTTTTGTGTCTTTCTCGCTAACAACAATATATATATATATATATATATATATATATATATATATATATATATATATATATATATATATATATATATATATATATATATATACTTACCGCTGGCTTACTGTCAATGGACCTAAAAGAAAAATTCTTGAACAAAGCTTGTATGTCACGCTTGTAGTTACCCGCACGGAAATTAGACGGATAGTTTCATCGAAAGGTTGAACTAGCCAATCCCGTGTGGTAAATGGGAGCCATATATGTAGGAACAAGCAAGCTTCTTCCACCGCCCGGTTACTTCCGGATTCGACGCCTACGCTGAAATATCCGGGACAATTTGAGGTGAACAGTTTGGGGAAGTGCATTGGAACTGTATTTTTCGCTACCATCAGCGGTATTATCCGAGTCTATAGGGCCGCCAATGAAGGAAACGCCGGCGAAATGCTATGTGTACATCGCCCTTTGTGATGCCGCCCCGCGTCGTACGGACACCTGTGGAACAGCTCCAAGGGTATGGTTGTCGCGATTAAGCAAGCAGGGCTCGCATAAGAGCTCAAGCACAGGGAAAATGCTTTGCTGCGCGTGCTATAAATGCTGCAGCTCAAGGCACATTTGTCTGTGTTCACTGCGTTTCGTATCGTTTCTAAATTTTTTATCCCTACTTTGTATATCAGTCCAATGGAATGCTGTCGCATTCGTTGCTTCGGCCTTGTGCCGAAACTCTGACTTGTTATTATCAATTTTGCGAATTATTTGCCGTTGTCAGCAACTCCTACTACCCCACCTTCTCTATTGGCCATCGAGCCCCCATTGCCTCGTCCTCTTTACACTAGCCCTTCGACCTCAAAAGGTCGATGACACTTGTTCTAGATTGCATGGTGCCTCTATGTTTTTCATTACAGGTTATTCGCTTGAAACACATCGCGCCATCGCACGTGCAAAAGCTCGCCTTCAGGTCGCCAGAGCACCTATACAGCCACGAGTGCCACTCAGGAAGTTGCACATTTTTTGATGAACGAAGCTCTTGCGTAGGTTCGACACTGACGCTCAACTAAACTGTCTTGTATTAACGCCTTTTTTACGCAGTTTCCTGTGTATGCTGGCGCAGCTTCGATCGATTCACAGTAGGTGCAAATTTCTATACGAACCTTTGTCGTCCCGATCACCTGCCTGGCTTTAGGCTTGATAATCCCCGTATAATAGTCCATTAGTTGTCGAGTCTTTCTGTCTGCAAAAAGAAAACATGTGTGCTATGAATATTTACACGTTATCAAATTTAATGCACTAAAACTGAAAGATTCAGTACGTGAATCAGCAAGCATTGCAGTAAGCGTAAACTCTTGTTGGACGACTTCTGCAAGGGACTTCTGTTGACGTTGCCACCGAGAGTGATAGCAACAACAGGAACGTTGTCGCAGCAGTCGGTCCTACTTATGGGATTAGATGCAGGAGAAAACTTGGAGCATGCTTGAGCTTCGAATAGTATCTGTAGAACGCGATAGAATAATAGAACAGAAAATGAAGAATAGAAGATAGAATATAGAACGTCTATAATCTCGCCCCATGCGCAAAGTGGTAGTCCGGCCTCGGTTTTCGGCGCATGCCTCAACCATGTCCTAATAAAACGAACGGCTGTGCGTGTAACAGTGGTAGTTTCAAGCTATCCTGGAATGCCTCCTGCAAGTACAGTTATCAAGCGCGCCCGATGGCATCATTTTTCCTTTAGCGAATCCGCAAACTACGCGTTGCTAAGGCATGCAGCACGTGGACTTATGCAGCTGCCCCCCTTGTTGACGCTGTTGCATGTGATGATAATTAAATATGATTCGGCGCTTTTCAGTGTGGGGTCCCTAAAGCACCCACTTCCTGCTATTTTCATGTTTTGACGACTGTCGTGTTACTACGCTCCTGACAAGCAATATTGCATCCGTTGAGAAGATTCCTTCCTCTACATGGCACTGATATATAGGGTGTTCTGATGCCAAACTGTTTTAAGCCATGTCATGGCTCTGTGGTGGGACAGCTGCTTCCTACGCAGATAGCCTGGGTTTGATTCTCACTCCAATAAAGTATATTTTCTATTGATTTTATTTCAATATTTTCCAGCATCTTGGTGACAGATGATGTGACAATTTTTAGCTCACTACTAACGATGCCTACATCATCATTTCGACGAAACGACATTTTCACCACAGTTGTGTAAAATAGCTATTGTTATTGATGATATATACTAGATACAACACTGAGCACTGGCCCTCCTGCAATATTATTAAGACAAGATCCTTAGTTGCCTCATCAAACGCGAAAAGTGACTGTCGGAGTCGGTGTGAACACAAGTGGTGCAACAAAACATCATGTGGCGTCGTCACTCTGTCGTCGTGACGTCACAAATTGTGAATCGCTTCATGACGTCATTACAGGATTTCGTCACTTGGCCAAAGCTGAGCCAATCCTGTAGGATGGGCTCAGCTTTGACCAAAGGACGATATCACTTGAGGTGCGGAAATCTCCCGATGTCTCCGGAGTCAGAGGCAGTGCTGAACCCTTTTGAGTGAACTAAGTTGTCGGCAATTGGCGGGAACAACACGCGAAGGTTCAACACAATCCACCGAGGGAAAAGGTGAACACAGCTTCCGCCATCTTAAGCAAGTGCATTATATATAGCGAATGTCTCATTCTATGTCAATCTCTCTGAGCACTATACATGCAGAGACATCCGGGAGCGCATACCTTCGGGAGCCTGGAAGTCAAGAATGATGGGAGTGCCTATAGCACTGATTATGCGCGAGTCGCGCATCTGCACGGTCATCTGGAACTTGCTGAGCAGCTGGAAGTGGTCCGTAGAGGCGAATATGTACGCTTGCTTGCCGTCGGTCGAGCGGGTGAAGTTTATCGGATAGTCCAGGTCTTGCTCGAAATCCAGACCGTGCTTTTCGGTCGCCGTAGAAGGGTATGCGAATCGACCTTGATACTTCACCACGAACGCGGTGATGTCGGTCAAGCTGTCGGCCAGAGTTCGGTCTTCGTTGGGGTCACCACCCCCGATAGCGATCACAACGTGACAACCCTCATCTCGTAATTTTTTCGACTCGTTCCGGAGGCTCTCCAAAGGGTCGTTGATAATGATCGTCACTGGGAAAGAATAATAAACACACTTTGAGCTCACTTTCCATTCAGAAAAATGTATGGCTCGAGACGTAGAAGTCCTTTTTGTTATCTAGTTGGTACGACACAGTTTGAATGTTTGGAAAGTGCGAATCTGAACACAAACTACACTAATGCTCACCCCATCTACCTTGTCTATGTATGCCTGATTTTGTTTCCTTATTTTGAGACTATGATTTAAGACGTGTCTTCTGCTTCTGCATTTAGTATACGCGATGCATGAAATAACGGTAAGAAGTTGATAACTATTTAGTACTGAGCCTGAATTATCACAAGAGATGCGGTCACTGGTGGGTGGCTACGCTTCGATGAGGCCAAAACATGAAATGCAGACTCAGTACCGTAATACCTCTGTAAGTGAATATTATTGGTAAGCATGAAAGCTACGCAGTAAGGGCACCTCAGTGGTGTAGCGACTATGGTGCTCGGCCACTGGCCCGAGGTTCCGGGATTCGATCCCAGCCGCGTCAGACGCTATTCAATGTAGGCGAAATACTGAAGACCTGTGCACAGCGCAATGTAAGCGCACGTCAAGAGCCACCATATGGTCCTAATTTCCTCATCCCTCCGCTACATCATCTCTTAGAATCGTAATGTCTATGGTTTCAAGACGCTAAATCCCAGCAATTATTATAATATATAAACTGTACTTATGATTTTAGTATCCAGAGATATGGTAATAACGTTGTGATACATTAGGAGACAGTTATTATTTTGTCAAGAAAGACTACGAGAACGCCTCGCCTTCAAGTGTACAGCAGGATAGCACAATGGGACCCCATGCGCATTGATTTCTTAACTGCTCGTCTGGCTTTGGTTCTCGGTGCTTGCGTCAACCATGCTGTAAAGAAACAGAGTTTGGCCGCTTCAAACTATCTTAGCACGGTGAGTTAAGAGCCTGCTAAGCCACAATAGGCCCTTTTGCAAATCTGTGAAGAGCCCACTTCGCATCCGTGTGGAAACACACGAAGCTACGCAGTTGCTTACTTTGTGGATACTTTTGCAGCTGATGATTATTACATATGTCCGAACGGTTTTTAATGAACGAGCCTTTAGAACACCAATTCGTTGCACAGTTTACAAGTTTTGACAACTGGCGTGATCTTACGCTTCTGCCACGCAACATTACATGTCTTAAGGGGGCTCTTCTACTACATGTCATTCATATAGCGTTTTGCTTTTTCAGGTACTTTAACCAATAGCGTATCTTTGTGTTGTACAACGCCTGCTTCCCTTGCCGACGGTCTGGGTTTGATTGTCACTTGAAACGAAGATTTTTATTTTGCATTTTATTCGCATATTTTGTTTCATTTTTCGGCCATAGACAAAATCAATTTTTGTTAACAATAATGCCCACACCGATACATGCCGACAATGGAATTTCTGCGACAGGAGCTATTTAACAATATCGCGTATATAGAAAATGCGGTGACCGAATATATGAAGGACCTGTCCACCTACCTAAAATAACTACTTAATTGAAATTAGGTCTAGGTATGCGGTGAATTCGCTCAGTTTCATATAGCCTGGTGAACAATTCTACTCATCTTCAAAGTCTGTGCCCCTATAGCATTCCTTGGAAGCTGAACGAAGGGTGTTTGGTTGTTGAAAGTAGAGTGAGTACTCACCGCCCGGCTGGCCCATAACACGCACGAGATCGGACACGTAGCCAACGATGCCAATTTTGAGGTTGTCCATGGTCAGTATGGTAGAGCGGGTCGGCAGTTTCGGCAGCTTGGTGAGCACGTGGTCGCGGCTGAAGTCGACGTTGCACAGCACTATTTTCGTTTTCAAGTCTGGGTCGCGGAACAAAGGTATCAGGCCGCGAGGACCGATGTGAAATTCCTGAATCCCTAAGGTCTGCACCGGGGTATAGATAGTAAGAAGTAAGGTAATGAAATGTTTACAACATTTTTGTTACTTCAGTCAGGAGACAAGCATGCCAGCTGAATTATGCTCAAGTGTAGACAAGTGCATTAAAATCGCACTGAAGTGTACTCTATTTTCAACTGCATTCCGAAGTGGTAGATTTTGGGTAGTGTTAAATACCGAGGGGAACGCAAAGAGAATTATCGAAGTTGTTGAATGGGATCTGAAGTTATTAGCCTTTTAAACATCACAGCATTAGAAGAGGTCATAAAATGAAAGAAAAACGTACCCTTTCGCATTTAACTGTGCCTTTGACGTAAATGACTGGTTTCAATCACTGCACCCCTCAAATCAGACCTCGAGGTTGTCGGTACACAGTGCACATAGCGTTGTTCTGCAATTATTCTCAAAATTTGGTACTGAAAACCAATTTTTTAGAGAACAATAAAAGAGATTTCGCAACCAAAGAAGAACAAAAGTGAAATTATAGCTCATGATAGTGTTGCCTTACTGGGGCCAGATGAATACAACCTGTAGCGTCAAGCCGATCAAACCGCTCGATCATTGCCGTCACTTCCACGTGATGAAGCGTCACTTCCGATCACAAATATTGTCGTTGCTTGTCACCTTCGTGCGAAACGAATCAGATTTCTTTATTGAAATAAAATTATGCAGCTTTGCTTTTGACGTTCCCTCTTGCCCAACAGTATTAGGGCACTAGAGAGTTCCAGAAAAGATGAAAATGAGACACGTAATTTGCATCGCAGGGCTCCTTTAACATATGTGGGCTGACGAAAACTGTGTCAACATCGCATTTCACAGAACAGTTACAGGATATTTCATTTCTCTAGTGTTTCTATCGTCGCCGACCGCTTTCAAGAGTGCTTCACTGTGGGATGCCAGAACTTACCATCACATCAAAATCCAAGCTTTTGAGCATGTCAACAACCACTTCGGGGCCCTTTATTCTGTACCACACGTGGCCAGTATATACGTTGCCGGTGAGAATTGATATCCCTGGTTTGTTGACCAATATCTGCAAAGAGGGGCAGTGTGCTCTGCACTTTTGCATGACAATAACAATGACTTTATTTTCGCATCAATAGAGTGAATGATACGAAGGGGCGGGCAGAAAAAGCTGTCGTTCAGATAGCTTGACCAGGCCGCTGGCCTCCTCATTGGCGCTCAACAGCAGTGATGAAATAACAATAAACCAACATAATTCAGCAATATATAATACAAGACATACACAGCAAAAAGAGCAATAATGTCTAACTTTACGAAATTGCAGAGACAAAGAAAAAGAAAAAGACCGAATCATAAGGACGTAACTCACGCATGACCTTTATTATTGTAAAAAGAAAAAGAAACCTACACGTGCGCAAAATTTAAAAGTGAGAGGCATCAGAAGAATTTTTTTGAAGAATTGTCTGTCTTGAGTTAAAAATACCTGTGTATGGCTTTGAAAACATGTTCTCGAATTGTATCTCTTCACAAATTATTCTGTTTAATAATCTTGGTAAGTTATTCCCAAGTGTTAGTTTTCCATATTTTGTTTGCACTGTTGGTATTTTCCAGTATTTCTTTTTACGGTGTTTCTTATACAAGGGTATTTTCTTGTAACTTGGAAAGGTGCCAAAGAAAATCTCATCTGGTTTTGAACTCTTGTTTATACGCCTTGCACAAACGGTGATCATATAGCGTTGGGGCTGGAAGTATCCTATATTTTAAGAAATACTCGCGTGTGTGGAAATGACTTGGGACATGATCAATTGCGTGTAAGAACTATTTTTGTAGGCGGTGTATTCTCTGTAACTAAATGACAGTAATTAAGTCTGGACTGAAGCAAACTGTTGATAATTAGCATCATACTATTTTGCGGCAGTATATGACGATTGCGCTGAACATTATACTAATCACTTGAAAGAGCTTTGTTACTAGGCTATGGACATGTGCATCCCAACATAATGTTTCCTGAAAGATGACGCCTATTTTTTTAAAAATGGGTACCAGCGGGATGGGTGAGAAGTTTAGTGTTATATTTTTATTAACCGTAATCTTTTCCTTTTACTGCAAAAGAACATAGCTTTTGTTTTATTTGTATTTATATGAAACATACAAAAATACTACTGCATTCTACTCTTCCAATCTGTAGGCCACTGCTATATGCTCAATGAAGATAGTGTTTTTCGAATAATACAGAAATTTCCCTGTATTGCATCCCTAGAGCACATTGTGTGGCATTAATTTGTACATCCATTTCATTTAAGTTATCCCTCTTGATTACGAAAAAAGAATGCCTGCTACCTTCTTTTTTCTTACTGGCGTTTTCGTCTAGTATATTCTTCACTTGCTTCATGCAGGTACGAGGATATACAAGTATGTCGGTAGAAATCAAGTTACGCTAGCTTATTGGGGGGGGGGGGGGTGTTCACGTGTGCCCGCGAGCTTCATCACGAAGAGCTGAGGAGACACTGCGAGAAAGTGTAATTATAAGTTCAAAAATAATTTACCCTATTATTATTATCGCTATTTCTAGCGAAGCTTGCGCAACCATGACCACATAAACAATGCAATATGGGGGAGCTATATCTGTGTATTGTAACAGCAATTAGCCACGTTGTGTTGCCCGTTCAGGAAGCAGTGAAGTATGCGCACACATTTAAAGGCAATTTTAGTCTTAAGGTTTTTCAGCGGTTTGCGCAACGTGTCGCTCGGTATTAGAAGTACTGCAAGCCCACCTGGTAGCTCATCCTGGCGGCCCCTCCGTAGCAGTCACCCACCGACTTTTTGGATGTCGTGCAATCTTTGTCCTGTTTGTCGACTTCGAGAAAGCGGCTGCGCAGTTCTCCCGAGTGGATCACATTCACCGTACCTGTATCGGAAGGGCGACCATGGGGTATTGGTGTGCGCAGGTTTCCGGTAGCAGCCAGCTTGTTGGCCAGGTGTGCAGGCGAGGACTTTACCTGAGGACGTTGGATAGCATTGGCAACGTTGGAAGACACGGCGTAAAATAATGGTCAGGTTCAAGCTACCCCGTCCGATATCGTAAACTATAGAGTAATTGCCGCTATGAATGCCAGCCATTTTTCGAATTCTTGCGAAACATTTCAGTGCTCGTTTGAGTAATGGTGGGTTTCACATAGCATTGTTGTTTCAAAAAAATATATGTTTTAAGCAATTTTAACGTAACGCCCACACACGTGGCGTATTCCGAAAGTTTGGAATTTTTCAACTCATCCTTCTCAGGAATACCATATTGTGTTAATTAAAACCTAGATAATACTAAAAGCATTATTCCAATAAAATCTATCACTTATGAACTATATAAATATTTTGTTTCAATATATTATTCACTGACTTGAGCTACCTTCCTCCTCCTGCACCAATCCTGTTCCCTCCACCGAAGCCTTATTAGCACTTGAAATTGTAAGTTGTGAGGCTCGGGGCGAAGGATGACTGACGCTTCACAAAGCCAGGTACGTCATCGAAATCTATAGCGATGATGTTGTAAGTGGCTTTATTTCTAAATGTCTGGGCACACTAACCTAAAACTACCTAATTTATTGAGCACGAACATTGATTAGAAGTGTCCTTATGAACATCGCTGGCACTACAAGGTTTTGAAAATTCATGAGCCGTGGTGCAGGACTCTTTTTTTTTCTTAGAGCATTTTAAACTAATCCTAAGTAGGTGCAATCTTACCTGCGCCATGGATGCTGCACTTCTCCCGTAGCAATTGCCCTGCGCCTTCTCGGAAGACGAGCAGCTTCCGTCTTCGTCTCTGGTCTCGGGGTAATGAAGAGGCGGTAGCCGCTCTTGCAAAGTCGACGGGCGGTGCACCGCTCGCCTCGTCTCGTCAGCGGCAATCCGAAAACTCTGTGCCGGGCGTTGCGTTCGTGCACGGGAACAGACCATATGAGGTACCAGAATCATAAGAATAAGTGCCATGACATGCACTGAACTCCCACAGCAAGAGATAATGGAAGACCTGAAGATGACTTGCCCAACCGCCATGGCTCCACTCTGTCTTCTTTTTCTCTGACCTCCCGGTTCTTGAAGCTCGCGCATTATTGGTTGCTCGCTCGCTTGATCCTTGTGATATGGCTCTTACCCACTTCGGGGAATTAGCCATGAAGCCGGCTGGAATTCAGTGCTTTTCTTATGCAACAATGGAGGAAGGAAACAACTGAGGAGAGGCCCTGACGTCACTCGTTGTGAAGCCGTGGTGAAGCCAGAAATCGGAGATATTTACTGGGAAAATTCTCCTCTCTTGTTTACACCCGAATGTAAAGCAGAAGGTGCGACACTCTCTCTGGCTCGGAAAACACGAGGGCTGCGCAGCGCGCGTGTCGTGACGATCGGAAACCAACAGAACCGGGCTAAACACTCTGGGCCAGCGCGACAACCTTCGGTGAAATCATTTCGTCCGAGTATTAACAGCGAGTAAGGGCTCGTCGACAACGAAGAAAGCACAAGAGAACGCACGCTAGATGGCCTGCAAGAGCGAGTGTTCTTACGTGATTAATTCACAAACTGTACAGACAACACGATCGGTCATGTGCCTTCTTCAACGGTTGTATTCCGCAACGGCCCCCGGCCACTGTACTCGTGTTCTGCGTGACACTCATCAGCGTCACCATTCTGTGACTGAGGTGACTTGGAGCACGGTGGAAGTGACACTACAACGCAGTTGCTCTAACGTTCAGATTGCAATGCTGGGGGCGACTATAAGAGGTGGAACTGCAAATGTGTTTTAATACGCACATGCAAGTTCTACGCACTGTTGAGGCACCGTGGTGGATAAAAGGTTTTGTAAACTTTGTTAGGAGTACAATAACTGCCAGAAGAACACTGCGTAACCAATAACGTGGGCAGAGCACGGATATTGTCCGCGACGGCTCAACACGAGACCTCCGGAGGCACACATACCGCCGCCAACTACGGCCACTCACTGGTAAACCAGCTACACTGCACAACAGGTAACCATAGAAACGTTGTCATTGTGCTCAGTGAATATGACCACCATGATGTCAGCTCCTCCACACTTTTCACGTAGCGCACCGTCTGGGCACGCCATCTCCTATCTTTTCACCTTTTAGGCAACACATTGCGGTCTTTTATGCCGACTTGACAGCAATTTGTTCCGAAACAAGATGTTAACTAGTGAAGGTCACTCAGGAATATGAAAGTGAAGCGAAATATATGAAAGCCACAAAATTTTCTATAGTAAAAAGCTGTGTGTCAATTGAATCATTTGTTCATGATATCATAGCTTCTGTTCTCATTGGTCATTAAATTTCTGACATAAGCCATTTAAAATGCGGAAGGCGTTCGCAAGATTTCAACGTGCAAAAAAGCTATCCAATATAAGAAGCTCTAACTGATGGTTAGCACCACTGGAACTGGTTAGAATGTTCCGACGACACCGGTAATCTTGGTGCTCAACACAAAAAGATACTATTCATTTTACATAACAAAGAAACTATGTCGCCCGTAGTTCAAGCTTGAAACGTGCACTGCTATATGCAGAGTCGCAGTCAAGTAAGAACTGCCTTAGGCGCATAACGTTATGCCAAGAGGAATATCACACCAGGCAGCGCCATCATCAATTCGGCATATTTTTTTATCAAGTGCACTCATCGCCACTCTTTATATTTCAGGCTAACGCGCTTTTTTGACACATTTTAATTTCGTACGATGCGTATTCTGTAAAACCTGTTCAACACGACCGCGTAATCTATATTTGAGGGAACCCAGTATCATCGTTATCGCGAAATGTTTCAAGCAAAAGAGCGCTGCTCTCAGTGCAAAACCGCCTTTTCCTCAACGATTACACTAATCTTTAGAAGCATCCAAGTCTTCAAAGAATATACGCCTCTGGATATATATATATATATATATATATATATATATATATATATATATATATATATATATCCAGAGGCGTATATATATATATATATATAGGTACGAAAGTTTGCATGACCATATTTGTTGCGGGTTGTGTGCCTTAGCCGTGGGCATGTGGCACTCCAGAGATCGATAAACTTGGGTTGTGCCATTGGTCGCGAGAGTGCTTTTTAAAGGCCATTAAAGGCCACCGAAGTCATTAAACGTGCCTACGGGCATACCATTACGCGTCTTCTTTTTTTTAATGTACAGCTAATCTTAAGACGCGCATCTTTCAGTCATCAGTTTTCTTTTCTTTCGGCTTTCGGGCATGGGCTCGGGGAACTTCATGTTTATATTTAATTTTCAAAATAGTAAAGCTTACTGAACCGAATGTAGCTTTGCCACGTATGCAACCTGTCTATGAATTTCGTTTTCACTTTCATTTGCATGTTATCTTTCAAGGCACGCAGGACCACATATTGCATTAGCCTTTCTTGCTAAATGAGAATACTGCCACAAAATATATTCCATTCTTACATTCTCTAACTATTGTCTCTACGGCGGAGTTTTATATGGCCCACCATCGTTTTTTCGTGTGACCAGCATTATGCGAAACCTTTTAGTGGACCTAGCGGAGCAGTAAAAGAACTAGCTTAATCATTCCGTAGATGGGAAGGCTTAATCTTTCCCCATACCCTAAATGGCATTAACGCTTTTATCGGTGTAATCCTCCATGTGCGTGGGGAATGAAGGAGCTATAGCGTACTACATATTTAAAGCATTAAATGGATAAAACCAGTGGTGCCCTCTACAGATATGTGGAAAAATTAATGCACTGAAGTGATGAAAGCGCCACGTCAGTTGAGTCACGGCATTACAGGGGCATGGTTGTGCGCTGAGTGTAGAAGTCAATAGAGCAATGTGAAAACGCCTTGCGTCATGCGCCTTCAGAGTTGAATTGTACCTTTTTTCGTTTCAGCAAAATGCCTTACAGGATGGCTCTTTATAAAAAAGAACAGTCGAGCACGTGTTATGTTTATTTTATTGCATGCAATGGTGCTACGTCTGTCATGAAACAAATGGTGTTTACACATACTTTAACGAGAGTATGCAATATTTTGTAACGGTGAATTATTAGACTTCAGTGCGTAAAATACGTAAACATGAATAGGCTAAGTGTATCTGTATGACTCGTCTTCGTATGTGTAGCGGTTACTTCTCTATCTTAATTGTGGAAATCGAAATCTGTTTCTTGCTCTGCTTAAAGAAAAGTAACAGTTTCGGCAAAATGCCGGAGCAAAGAATGCAATTGCAGCATATCGTGCTTTTACACGAAGTAAGGCTAGGAGATTTAGGAACCATGCGAACTGTAGTGAACACGGTCGATTGCGCTTGAATCGACAGTGATTCTGTGAACACCATACCTAAACAGGTGTTCTTGTAAATAGTTGACTGCGCGACGTCTATCAGGAGGCCACGCCCAAGTTCCGTATCGAGAAACGTGACAAGCCACTAGATTGCGTATTGAAGAAAATTAGCGTTGAAGTGTCCAGTGACTATCACCGCAAATCCTATAGGCACACCATCGGGAAGTTGGGCTGCAAGAACTTCATGACGTCAGTACGGAAGATTCGTGATGAGATGTACAGATGAGATGTACACTGCTGCGACAACGAAGCTGTGCGATATTTTAGCGGCGCAAGAATCACCACAACTCATCTGGGGCCACAAATTGAGTTTGTCTGTCTAAAGTGATAGTGGCGAGGCGCATTTCGATGGGAATATAATTCACAGGTATGACAGAACCAACAACTTCGCGAAAAGTCTTATACTTGATGCGATCAATTTTCAGTAGTTTCAAAGTAAGAGAGGAGCAAGAGACGTTTTGGAATGCTTCTTTCTTCCAACTGTATGTGCTTCAGCGAACCCAATCCACCATTGATCAAGCCATCGGACGCGTCAATGTTGAAGGAAATCATGTATGACTTGTCCAAACAAAGCAGATGCTTTGTTCAAGAATGTTTTTTTAAGTCCTTTGGCAGTACGTCAGTGATGAATGGTGTGCATACAAAGCTAGCCGTTGTGTCATACATGGTATCAGCGGTGTGGTTAATGCAGCGCACTGAAGAGTGAGGGGCGACTGATTCAATTTCCCGGTGGTTGTCTTCAACTTCTTTGTTCTGATTTCTTTTTCTTTGCGTCTTTTAAATGTATATAAATACATATGCATGTCAGTGACATGACGGCGATGGTGACGGTAAAAATGAGCCGGGAGTGTCTGTATAATTGCCCTCTCCACGAAAAAGTGGAATATCACGTTCCCCAAAGCAACTGCGACTATCTATGTGTGACGTTCACATGGTTTTTGTTCTTTCTTTTTTTACTTGAAAGCTACAACGTTATTCTCAAAGTAATTCGCTGACTAGGCCCGTGGTAGATCAACTAACTGCTTTTGCAGCAGGGCAGGCCTGGGAACTAATTCGTCTCTCACGTAAGTCACGTGACGTTGCCAGGTCTTTACCACTCCTACTTTTATCTCAACCTCTGTTGGCTTCTTCAAGTGAATCCGGTCACTAAATTAATCCGGTAGACCAACACTTTTGAAGCAACTCCAGCGTAAAGACGGAAATGAGACTTTGGTTCGGCAGTGGGAGATAAGATGTTGAAAGCCAATGGGGATTACCGTTCTGATCCACCGACACAAAATTAAATGTCAAAGCTTCAGGGCAAGATTGAGGTGGTTCTTCCTAATGGCTGTAACCTTTTTGGTTTAATTAAGATAAACCAAGCTACATTTCGTATCAACACCGTTCCTAGAG